CATTGAGGTAGGTTCAGATCTTTTCTACTCTAGCTCTACACCACCACACAGCCTTACATTGAGGTAGCTTCAGATCTTTTTTTCTACACTAGCTCTACACCACCTCTCTTCCCAGCATTGAGGTAGGTTCAGATCTTTTCTACTCTAGCTCTACACCACCACACAGCCCTACATAAAGGTAGGTTCGAATTTTTCTAGATAGTTCTATATCACCTCATAGCCCTACATAGACATAGGTTCAGATCTTTTCTACACTTGCTCTGTAGCTCTACATTATTTTCTCTTTAACTGTATACAATTCTTTCCAACTCTAGAACATTTACTGAAGAAAAACTAATGAAGACACAAGGTGTGGAAAATCATTTGTCATTTCCTGGGTTGTTCTCTCAGGTGACTTGAGATCCCAACAGCCTGATCCCCAAATGATTCAAGTTCTGTGGATGGAAGCGTATAAAATTTTGCGTTGTTTTTTCATGTAACTCTCCTGAAACAACGTGCCTACTAGGTCATTAAAATTTTGCGTTGTTTTTTCATGTGACTCTCCTGAAACAACGTGCCTACTAGGTCATTAAAATTTTGCGTTGTTTTTTCATGTAACTCTCCTGAAACAACGTGCCTACTAGATCATTTAAATTTTGCGTTGTTTATCATGTAACTCTCCTGAAACAACGTGCCTACTAGATCATTTAAATTTTGCGTTGTTTTTTCATGTAACTCTCCTGAAACAACGTGCCTACTAGGTCATTAAAATTTTGCGTTGTTTTTTCATGTGACTCTCCTGAAACAACGTGCCTACTAGGTCATTAAAATTTTGCGTTGTTTTTTCATGTAACTCTCCTGAAACAACGTGCCTACTAGATCATTTAAATTTTGCGTTGTTTATCATGTAACTCTCCTGAAACAACGTGCCTACTAGGTCATTTAAATTTTGCGTTGTTTTTTCATGTAACTCTCCTGAAACAACGTGCCTACTAGATATTTAAATTTTGCGTTGTTTATCATGTAACTCTCCTGAAACAACGTGCCTACTAGGTCATTTAAATTTTGCGTTGTTTTTTCATGTAACTCTCCTGAAACAACGTGCCTACTAGGTCATTTAAATTTTGCGTTGTTTTTTCATGTAACTCTCCTGAAACAACGTGCCTACTAGGTCATTTAAATTTTGCGTTGTTTATCATGTAACTCTCCTGAAACAACGTGCCTACTAGGTCATTTAAATTTTGCGTTGTTTATCATGTAACTCTCCTGAAACAACGTGCCTACTAGGTCATTTAAATTTTGCGTTGTTTATCATGTAACTCTCCTGAAACAACGTGCCTACTAGATATTTAAATTTTGCGTTGTTTATCATGTAACTCTCCTGAAACAACGTGCCTACTAGGTCATTTAAATTTTGCGTTGTTTATCATGTAACTCTCCTGAAACAACGTGCCTACTAGATATTTAAATTTTGCGTTGTTTATCATGTAACTCTCCTGAAACAACGTGCCTACTAGATATTTAAATTTTGCGTTGTTTATCATGTAACTCTCCTGAAACAACGTGCCTACTAGGTCATTTAAATTTTGCGGTCGGAGGCTTTTAACATTTTTGCGTGTGTTGTTCCTACAGGTGACTCTCCTGAAGCAGAACATCGGCTCCATGCACCGGCCGGCCAGTGCCAACAGCTCTACCTCCAGCGGCCGGGCGGCCCGCAGGCCAACAGCCGGCCCCGAGTCTACCTCGACCTCACACCACCCCCAAGGTTCAAGGTCATCATCGTCATCGTGGGTGGCGGGCGGTGTGGACTCCCTGTCCTCCACCTCGTCTTCGCCGTCAGAGGGAGGCAGCTGCGAGGAGGAAGAGGCTCAGCCAATGGTGAACAACGTGCTGGACCCTGCCTTCCTGGAGGCCCACAACGCAGAGATCCTGTGTGGGCCTGTCCGACTGTCCAACTGCCTGGACCTGTCTGGGCTGGGCGGCCTGGTCACTCTGTCCAGCCCACAGCTGCTCAGCTCCAAGCCCCGCTCCCTGCTCCTGCACATCAAGGGCTTTGAGGACAGCCCGCAGCCGGAGACAGCTGCTGTTGGGGGCGCGGCTGCAGCCGGGGGGAGGGACAAGTCGGAGGCCGGGGAGGCAGGCTTCTCGGACAAGATGGACCGCTTTGAGCAGCATCTCATGAAGATGGTGAGGGATGGTTGGGGGTTCGGTTGTCTGACAGGATGGTCTGCTTTGAGCAGCATCTCATGAAGTTGTGAGTGGTTGGGGGTTTCGGTCTCCAATAAGATGGACTGCTGTGAGGAACATCTCATAAAGATGATGAAAGGGATGGGTGGGGGTGTGGTTCGGTTCTCCTATAAGATGGACTGCTGTGAGGAACATCTCATAAAGATGATGAAAGGGATGGGTGGGGGTGTGGTTCGGTTCTCCTATAAGATGGACTGCTGTGAGGAACATCTCATAAAGATGATGAAAGGGATGGGTGGGGGTGTGGTTCGGTTCTCCTATAAGATGGACTGCTGTGAGGAACATCTCATAAAGATGATGAAAGGG